GTGTGTGTGTGTGTGTGTGTTGGGGGGGGATTTACCTCAAATAAACGTTTCCACAGATTTAGTTTCACTTTGATTTAATGTGACTTTTTAAAACACGTTTCCGATACTTAATCTGTCAGATTAAATGGATGGAAACCCTGGTCAGGACGTTTGGATCAGAACCAGCAGCTGTGATTCTGATGGACCAACGTTTAAAACAAACACTGAGAGTTAGATCGGTTTTGTTTTTCTGGAGGATCTGACTTTAGTTTGTAAAACCTAAAACCGCCAGACACAAATAAATCCAGATTAAAGTAAAGATGGTCCGCTCAGACACCAGTAAACTTGGATTAAGTTAAAGATGGTTCAGTCAGACACCAGTAAACTCAGATTAAATTAAAGGTGGTCCCCTCAGACACCAGTAAACTCAGATTAAAGGCAGTCCCATCAGACACCAGTAAACTCAGATTAAATTAAAGGCGGTCCCCTCAGACACCAGTAAACTCAGATTAAATTAAAGGCGGTCCCCTCAGACACCAGTAAACTCAGATTAAATTAAAGGTGGTCCCCTCAGACACCAGTAAACTCAGATTAAATTAAAGGCGGTCCCCTCAGACACCAGTAAACTCAGATTAAATTAAAGGCGGTCCCCTCAGACACCAGTAAACTCAGATTAAATCAAAGATGGTCCGCTCAGACACCAGTAAACTTGGATTAAGTTAAAGATGGTTCCGTCAGACACCAGTAAACTCAGATTAAATTAAAGATGGTCCCCTTAGACACCAGTAAACCCAGATTAAATCAAAGATGGTCCCCTCAGACACCAGTAACACCAGTCCTGTCCAGTCGGGGTTCAGGTCTTGGTCTCTTGGGGTCTGAACTCTCAGGAACCTGGTCCTGATTCCTTATCAGCAGCTCGGACTCAGACGTGTGGGAATACAAACACATCAGATTTTTCTGTAGATTATGCTGCTATATTTAGACATGCGAGCAGCAGATTACAGCTGGAGTTCATGGAAAAACACACAGTTCAGTTTGACTTCAGCTCTGTGTTCTGAAGCTGGTTTTATTTATTTATTGACAAACAAAAGGTTTTCTGTGTACGGTTTTTACCGTGACAGGCAACGGTGTCCTCTGCTGGAGCAGATTATCATTTAGTGGAGGATCAGCTGCAGGTTTATTTTGTCCACCAGGGTTAGACTTTACTTTTTATTGTGATGAAAACATCTGGATTAGTACCGGACTAAAGGAAAGAATTAAACTTTTTATTTTGAAAGAGTTCTTTCACCTTCAAAGTAAAAGAATCTTAATTTACGAATTTTGACTGAATCCTTTTTATTCTGTTTTGTTTTTAAGGTTTCAGCTGCTGTCTGAACACCAGTGAGCCCTCCTGTCATCACGTTACCCTGTGCGTGTGTGTGTGTGTGTGTGTGTGTGTGTGTGTGTGTGTGTGTGTGTGTGTGTGTGTGTGTGTGTGTGTGTAGAATGTAAACGGTCTGCAGGAGACGTGTGGACAGGAAAGCTGCCGCCCCCTGGCCTACTTCTGCAGAGAACACTATGTTCTTAAGACACTGATCTCATGCAGGGAGAGTGACCCCCCCCCCCCCCCACACACACACACACACACACACACACACACACACACTCACACTCACACACACACACTCACACACACACACTTCTTGCCCTTACAGTCTGATGCTGCTTTTTGAGTCAATTACAGCTTCTCTTCACTGTGTTTTAAAAAACTGCTGATCAGAGATGATGAGTCCTACAATAAAGGCAGGAACAAAAAAGAACTAGAGAGCTGCAGAACCACAGAGATGCAGAACCACAGAGCTGCAGAACCACAGAGCTGCAGAACCACAGAGCTGCAGAACCACAGAGCTGCAGAACCACAGAGC